ACTAAAAGATTTTGAGATGGGGGGGAGGAGGAGGAGGGAAGAGGGAGGCAAAGAGGGGAATTAAAAAATAATCATGTTTCTCTAAATGATTTTCTAGGTGTTTCTGCTGTTTGTGTATGTATCAGCCTGTATGCCCAAGTATCCCACCATCCCTCGTTAAGAAGAAAAATGTTAAGGTGCCTCTCATTTGCAGGCATAACAGACAGGAGGACAGGCTGAGGGCCACACACCGCAGAGAGCACAAGCTTAGTGGGGATCGTTAATCCAGGACCTGTGGCCAAGGAGAGCTCACGGACAAGGGATCGCATTGTACCAAGCTGCACGGGCAGAGAAGCTGGAGTGGGAGTTGAGCACATTCAACTTTGCTGAATACTCTGGACTCTGTCCTGGCAGACAGCAACCATTCAGCTGCTTCAGACACAGGGAACCCAAACACAGGGATTCCCAGACGCAGGGAAACAGAGAACTGCTTTATACAATAACTGATGACTGCTACTGCTTTTTATTTACTTGACCGAGAAAAGAGGGTGAGCAAGAGATGGCCATAACATCAGGAGAGAGTGGGAGAGGACTTTTATCCTGTATCTTGTTATAGGAGATACTAGAACTAAATGATGCAGGAAGAAAGCTTTTCCAGCACCAGCTAATACGGGCAACAGGCCTGGTTAAGCCCTGGAACGTGATGTATTGACACCACGTCTTATGAGTTCCCTTTCTGATCCTATAGCAACCGGGCTCCAAACAAATGAAATACACCCATAATCCCAACCTCACTGAGACACAAAACAAGGGCTGGGAGGAGCTCTTGGAAATCACATAACTTGCTTTAGCCCTGGCCAGCCACAGCAACGTCTCATCTGCAGAACAGCTTGTTAAATCCTAAAACTACCTTTTCTGTTTCTGCTCAAAATCCTAAGAAATTAATGCAAAGTTACAATTATCTGAAGACGCATCTTCCCATAAAAATGAATTTAGAAAACTTTCCAAAAACCTTCCATTGTCATGCAACCCTCATATACAAACTTTATTCCATTCTCCAATTTGAACCCTCACGCAAAATTTCTTGTGGCTTTTCAACAGCACTGAAAGGGAGCAAAACTTATTTGACTGTCAAACACAGTCAAAACATAGTCAAAACAGAGGCCCTTGACATCTACAAATTACAGCTATACTAATAAGCGTGCCACTATATATTAGGATATATTATATGAATATATATCAGGATATATATTGTTATCAATCCTGGTATGCAAGTATCCTCTAACACAATGATGGTATAGGCAGACATGATTTGTAAACATTTTATACAAGTACGTGAGCTATGTGACCACAAGAGAGGCAGGGAATGATGGACATAGCTGCAAATAGGATGCAAGTAACAAAAGCTGCCAGAGAGAGGATAAGATTAAGTACCAGAGACTGCAGATAAGAATAAACATGAAGGATGACTGGCAAGTAAGCAGATAAACTGCAGGAGCAGAGGAAACCCCTCGAAAGGAGGAGGGATGGCAACAGCTACCAGCAACGCAGTGAACGCGACTGGAGCGCATGCAGGAATTTAAGTCTCCCATCAGCTACCATAAGAACCTGGGCATGATATTCAGGCTGAACTAGCAGGTCTCCCCCATCCTTCTCGTTTCTCAGTTTCCATGAGCACTGATTTTGTGGAATGTAACATGCTGGTAAGGACTGGGATATTAACGCAACACGGTGTTAAGAGCTTGCCAGGTATTCTAATGAAAGAATAAATAAGAAGGTTGTGATCCTTCAGAAGAAGAATGGGCCTCAAAGAGTGATCACCAAGAAAACTTTGCTCCTGTGGGAAAGGCCAACACACATGGCATACCATAAGTATCCAACATGTCCTAGGCCTCTGCGCCAAAGAAAATAAAGGGAAAGTGCAACCAGCTTTAGAAGAATGCACTATCAAAGAGTATTCTAACACGACAAAATCAAGAACATTTTTAAAATGCAATTCTCCTATGAGATACAAGGAACCAGATACACACTGCAAGAGGTTATAAATAAATAAATAAACAAATGGGGAAAACAATGCAGATTTCTTTAATGGCTACTGGATAATTCCAACAGAAATAATGAGTCATCACCCACAATTAGTGCATGTACTCTATACTACATATGACAGATTTTAAAATATGTTAAACAACTGATTTCAAGGCTTGCTAGGCTTTACTGCTTTTACTGCTAGTCCTGAAAGCTATTAATTCCATTTTAACATAAATGACTTTTGGAAGTTTTGGAAAATTTGCAATATAGTCCTTGGCAATAGCAACTGGCAATTAGTTTTGGATGATTCAAACATAGACCTGGCCAAATGATTTAATAGAACAACCATTTTCTCTTATAGTTCTCACCGTTTGCACTAAGTTCCATTAATTGTTTGTATTATCTGTATTAAAGATAATCCTCGGGGGCGGGGGGCAAGGGAAGAGAGAGAGAGAACTAACTATAAGCTTGGAAAATATTAATAAGGTAGACATTTCTGCCTGGGACAACCTTTAAGTCCTTGAGAAAGTAAAAGTCACTCAGTAAATTTAATCTGTTTCTCTCCTCTATTCAGCTTGAAGAATGAATCATTCTTGATGTGTCAGAAAATACGAGAGCCCAACAGACCTTGTTGTTGTCTAGTATTTCTAAAAATAAATTGGTTCTTTTTAGTGCCAAAGACATCTGTAGGTAAGTCTGAAGAGCTTCCTGCTTTGCCATCTATCTGTTAATTACTAATTAGATCTCAGGTTAACAGCATGCAACGAACAGATGCTTTTTGCAGGAAGTTTTATGATTTCAAACACTGTATATGTATAACACCAATGCAATAAACAATGGAAATGCCAAGAGACAAATTAGTTTGTTTCTAAAGGCCAATTAAAAAAAAAGTGCCTGTTCTTTCAGCTTTTTTTTTTCCTTTTTTTTTTGTGAGGTAGACTTGCAAGAGGAGCAAGAAAACATACTGCAAAAAGTCATTTCATTGCAAAAACCCTTCGTCTTCCATTTTTCAAAGTTTGAAACAAGATTAAAGTCTTTCATCAGCTTGAGGAACTATCTCTTTCAACACTTTCAACATAATAATCAATAGGGAATAGCGACAACAGGAAATGTTCCTGAATGGCAGAGAGGTTTATTGCCCACTACCTGGCATTTTAAATATGGGCACACTAAACCACTTCTAACTGAAGTTGGGAAACAAGGGTAGGCAGAAGAAAAAATAATGGATGAGTGATCAATTTGGAAACCAAACTCCCTCCCCAAATAACAACCACTAAAATTCTCTGACACTATGAAGTCACTCATTCTATTTTATTCTGTTGTTATCCAACAACATCTAATTCAAACAAAACACTTGATTTACCAGAGTATTTGCTAGTGATGTGCTGTTTAATCATTCACAACACCGAGCTCTGGAAAATAAAGAGACTTGCTGAAAGAAGTCCCAGTCATTCTCCAATTTTACAGCAATAGTAAGAAGCCCAATTAACAGAAATGTTACTGTACTAAATACATATACTGGAATAACAAAGCACAGCAAGCAGTCACCACGTAAATGATAAATGGTCATGGGTATTCCCTTCTCTCCTTCCCTCTCCACCCCCAACATAAAAAACACAAAATAAAATCCCTACAAAGTACGGGCCTGTAATTCTGTAAAAATATCACTATGTAAGAATTTGGCACTGAGTGCACACAGTGACCGAAGGATGCACAGTTCAATACGTAACAGCTCTCTTTTGCAAAGGTGAGTAAAAGAACCTCCCTGATAACTCCTTCCGTCCATTTTGGACATTAAGCATGCAGCTTAGAAGATATGATTTGATTTCTGTGCATATCTCTGAACTACAGCATATATTTAATTGACAGAGCAAAGCAATCACCTAACCTATAGCACTACCATGTCTTCAAGCAACTACAGAACAGTCTGAGCATTGTTAACCTGAAACGATCAAAATAAGGAGGTAGCTAGGAGATAGATTTCAGAGATTGAAGGAACTGATGGAAACAAGGCCTTTTTCCAAATTAGGAAAAAAATCACCCAGAAAGGGGAATCAGAATAGTGAACACAATTAATTATGAAAAATGAGTGACAAACTCGAGACCCAGAAACACAAGCAGGGAAAGATGCACTGACTGTAGGTCCACATTGGTTCACATAGTGTGGCAGGGTAGGGAGGTCAGAGCCGAACACGCAGCGAAGGAAAGGGCTGGGCAAAAGTGGAAGGGGCAGCTGGAGTGAAATTTGTCACGTTCTTCCAGATGTGGTGTTCTTGAGCAGAGGATGGTTACTTGGTTAAAGCCACGAGTCCCTGGTAAGGATCCCAAAGCACTCCTGAGGCAAACTCCCAAACCACCAGGGAAACACGGCTTTGCTCCTAGGACTAGTGCCGGTGGATCCGGTAGCACGAAGTGGGATGAGCTGGAGTTGCAGGCGCTGAAGCAAGCGGGGCCAGGACATCGCCCAGGCTCCAGAATCACAGGAGGTTCAGTCCTGAGACCTAAGAACCACCACAGGGAGGATTCCACACAGGGACTTCAGCCAGGACTACAGCACACAGGTAACTAAGTGGAAAGCAAACAGAGCTGTCCCTGCTTGTGGCAGGAAAGGAGCTGGTACAACTGGAACACATTCTAGGCAGTTTGGGACACTTACACTCAAAAAGAACTTAAGCAGCAAACACCAAACAAACATACTGTGTTCTCTAGAGAGCTATACATTTCCTGAAACTCTTGTATTTTCTTGGGTGGCAGGGTAAATCCTACGTACCATTTAGCACTGCAGTATAGTTGAGTAGGACAGCATAAGAAACAGCACTTCTTTACTGAGTCAAAATTATCAAGAGATATGATTTATTATTATACATTTATGGCTTATATTTATGAAAAAAGTTCCATCAAATTCTATTGCAAGCACTTTGTCCAGAAAGTAACTGAGAAAAAATATACCACAGTCGTACAAGTCTGGCACATTTCACATTTGCATTACTTACCTATCATATACATTGAGCAGCCAGTTTAGACACATGTCTACACAGAGGGGAACATTCACCAGATCTTTGTGTTTTTCTTCAAGTCCACTGTAGATGGTAGTGAGGCAGCTGATCACATCCTGGACCCCAATGAGCTGGTCATTTTGACTCAGCTTGTGCTGTTTAAATATTTCACTCGTTGTGTTCAGGTCCAACAGGTCCACTAACCAAAAGAAAAAAGAAAAAGAGAATGAACACAGGTACTTGAGCATGGGACTTGTAATACTTGTTCCCTGACTTCTCACTTTACAGTAGCAAACACTGAAGACAGATTAGTTTTCCAAGTAGTTTTCCTTTGGTGACATGGTAAAAAATTGCTCTCTGTTATAAGGAGTTAATAGCATTTTGACACTGTATATTTAAAAAATGAATAAGCAAGAAAAACACGGTGACACTGTCAAGCTAAGAACATTAAAAGAGCTGTTGAAGTTGCCTGCATAATTAGAGAATTGTCACTTCAGATGTACACACTGTGAGCCCACTTCATTTAGAGAATTCTCTGCATTTACCATAAAGCAGGATCACATCGAATGACTATCGTTTTTCATTAAATGTAATGCAAAGCAAACTTTTGGGTAACAACATTCTCTAAAATGAGGGAAGAAGATACTAAGCCCCAATTAACTGAACAATAGTTGCTACATGAAGGCATAAAAGAAAATGTGGAGAGGAAGAGAGCACAGAGAAAATGTTCAGGAAACTATTTCCAGAACACTAAAGGCTATGCTTTCATGCAGAATATTTTGATTTTGCTTATCATGCTCGAGATGCAGGCTGAAAGTCTTCTCATGCATTTGTATGAGCGGTTTCTGATACCATGGATTTCTGATGGGTGTCAATGGTTTTGCCCCCCACACCATAAACAAATGTGACTGTAACTGTGAAAATATGGTGAAAATTAGAAACTGGATGGTGAAAATTAGAAGTTGTTGATGAGCTCTTCTAATTCTTCTGCAAAACAAAATTAGGATGGAACTTGTTTTGATGGAAAGGAAGGCCTAATGAAAAGGTTGGCGTAAACCCTAACACCATTTTTGACATAATAAAAATGAAGATATTAAAAAAAGTTGCAATATACTGCTATGTTTGCTACAGTATATATGATATGATGTTGAAACACATTCTGAGCTCACGCAGAGCTGTTTCTGAGTAGCCAGTAATGCATTTGCTCTATAAATGTCATTTCTCAAAGGAAATGAAACATGACAATCTCAGATGCGTTGTAAATTGCTCTGCACCAATAATGTTAAATAAGGACCCCAGAAGGGCAGTCTGTGCAAACCAGGTAAGTGGAGCTCAAGCTGAAAAATAAGTTCAGGGAGAAAAATAAAAAGCATCAGCAAGATGAAACTAACCACCATGACCAATTCTGACCAGAACTCAGTGAGCATCTATCCTCAGATAAGGTTATAGACCAAGAGCAGGTCACATTCCTAATTCCATTTCTCCAGTTTACCACTTCTAACACACCTGTAAAATGAGATCCAGTCCCTCACATTCCTTGTTTTTTTTTCGCCTCTGTACATTTTATTCTAACATCAGACCTGCAGGAGGTTTGGGAGTTGTTTTATTGACTTTTTCTTGGAAGTGTTGTCCCATTTATCAGGGTGGAAATGAAGGCTAAACATGTATCTCCCAAACAAGGCAGAGTGCTAACTGCAGCAAACTGAGGCTACCTTGCCAACAGTTCCTCCTCACGGAAAACTCCCTTCCTCAAAGGGAATGTGAGGGACGTGAAGCCACCGCAGAGAGTCCAGCGGGGGCTCCTAAGGTGACCTGGGAGGGAACCAAGGCCTGCAGTGTCTATTGTAGGAGGGAAGGCCAAGGGAGCTGGATGTCCAGCGTAAGGAAGAGAAGCCTGGGGGGAGGCGTTATTAATGTCTATCAACATCTGCAGGGAGCGTGTCAAGGAGATGCAACAGAGTCTTTCCAGTGGTGCGCAGGGAGATGACAAGAGGCAACATAGTCAATTCCATCTGAATCTAAGGAACAGCAGAGTGTCCAGAGGGGTTGTGGAGTCTCCATCCTTTGAGATGCTCAAAAGGACATCCTGGACAATGTGCTCTAGGTGTCCCTGCTTGAGCAGGGGGCTTGGACCAGAAGATCTCTAAAGCTTCCTTCCCACCTCAACCACTCTGTGATTCTGTGACCTGAACTAGTAAAAAAATATACCAGAAATGGCTCACAAGAACATTTACATTTTAAAACACGCACAATGCAACTCAGCCTATTTTATTTCAGAAGCCAGGTGCAAAGCTCTAACATGCTATCAAACCACATAAACATGGCATTCAGGAGGGAAGGAAGAACAAGACACTTTAAAGGGAAAATCTCTGACTGTAACTAGCTTTCCCTTTTTTTTCCATTTTCTTTTTTTTTTTTATAGTACACTTAAGCTTCCAAAAGCAGCTTCCTCAAGCAGATTGATATCACTAACAGCTTTCTTTTTAAAGCCAGTACAACTTTCCATTGCTTTGGCATGCCAAACTATTGCAGCCTTTTGGCTTAGCTTAGCACAACCACCTGTGCACTGAAAACTGCCATGCAAGCTGACTGAGGACCAAACTTCATGACTTGATCTGCACTATTAAGGCCTCACATTCACACTCAAATGATGCCAAAGGAATCAAGAGGCAGTAGGGAAATATACTTGCAGTATCTTTCACTATAAAAGGAAACTCTGTAGCTGTACTAATGTGAAATTAAGCAAACCTGATACTTTTGGATGACACCACTCATGGAGAACAGCCTGTGGAAGCTATTTCCATCCTTTCTTATTTCAGTGCTCACCTGGCTGAGTTGAGTGAAATTTGGATACAGATGGTTATGCTGGTAGAGTCTACCCACTAGCAGAGCCCCTTGCTTGGTCCAGTGTAGAGGCATGATATTCTCATTACACGTTAATTCCCAGAAGTTTTAACTAAACTGCTTTTATGCAGATAGGGAAAAGCTAACCTGAGACTTACATGCCTGTGGTGGCTCAAAATCTACTGCACACAGCTTTTAAAAGTAGTTTTGCGGTATCAATTTGCATCTGCTTGAATATGCTGAATGGTTCGCTAGTTACCCAAATGAACGGACATTATGGTCACGTCTCTCCTTTCTGGAGCAAGGAGACTTTCCCAAAGGAAAGTTATAAACAGAAACCACGTCACTCAGCACGGTTCGAGCAGGTGTATGCGAATGACTCAGGAGCAAGTAATGACATGCAGCTGCTCATGGCAAATTTGAGGCTGCTGCAAACCTCACAGGAACTAGGCAGACATTGCTGTGAAGCTTTAGTATTGAAAAGACCTTGTGAATAAGAGCAGCTCTTGCAAAAGCCCCACTGATGGATGGAAGTCTGCAGAGCTGCTCCCTTCAGCCCAGGGTGCCTCACTGTTCTCCTCGTCCTTGTGCGGTTGACGTTCTCATCAGCATTCTCACATTTTACATCACTTAAAGAAATTCAGTGACAGAATTCTTAAATATCCATGGCATTCTTGTTGTCTTTTTGCCTTCCAGTACTACACTTCAGTATCTGGGGCAAAATCATTTCTTGAAAATGAGCTCAGGTTTGCTGCCAAAGAAAAAGTACTCTGCTCGGAGCCTAGTGCTCCATGACCGCTCAGTACAACTGCAACACGGAGAATTCTCTCTGGCCCCTCTCTTGTGCTACAGCAGGAAAGTGCACGTTCAACAATCTGAGACTGAAGAGCTACTCAAGAATTTGTTCTTTCCAAATTGCAAACTTTTGCAGACTTTTACAAATAAAGGCATGTATTTACATGCACATATCAGTCCCTGCAAGAACCTACCTTCAGGAAGGAATGAGAACACAACGAAATGTGACTCTACTTGCTTGTTTCTAATGGGAGGGGCAGAACTTTGAAACCACAACTTTTTTCAACACTCACTGACAGTAAAGACTTAGAAGAGAGTTTTGCACCAGTGAAGTTTTCCAGAGCATAGTTCTGAAACGATGTATTCCCAAATCTGCTTATACACAGCACTGGTACAATGTTACCAGGCCTCCCTGCAAAGTCAAAACCTATCAAGTACAAGTGGGACTGCGTACCCTGCTTCAGCTTTGCCCTTGCAGTCTGTGCCAAAATGGCCCTTTCCATTATATACACACTGCAGCTGTGACAGCAATTTGTCACATTTTACAATTTACAATGACCTTATTTTCTAGTGATTTGTTTTGACACTCTCTTTGTCTTAATACATAAGGCATCCAAACACCTTTAAAGAACATCCATGGTTAAAATTATGGGAAATGCAATAGAAGGCTAAAGTAACTCTGACCAGAGAAGGAATGATGGGCACAGAAAACAACTCTGTCCCTACATTAATATAAACAACTAAAAACAAGAAAAGACACAGTCAAAAAAAGAATCCTCAGTCAGGCTTAATCATTCCTCCCTTTCTCAGAAAGAAGTGTTAGCAGAGATTATGTTTTGGCTATTTCAGTACTCATTAGGGGAACAGAAAGAGGCTGAGAACCACTGCATTCACAGAGAACTTCACCTGTTCCTTGGGAAGAAAATATCCACTAAGCAAACAATGACACAAGGAACAGTATTTATTAAATTTTTAAAGATTGTCTTAAAATTGAGCCATAGCATAAAGAGTTGCTCAAAGACTGGCAATTCTTGTAGCATTTAGCTCTGTGATTCTGCAATGTCTTTCACTAAAACTCACACTGTTGTGTTCTTACAGAGTACACCAACTCCTGACCAAATACGCACACATAATAGAGACAAAGGGTTTTTGGCTGCTGGGAGGAAGGAAAGCAGGTCCTTGGTCTTCCTCCTGAGAGGAAGAGACAGGGGACAAGAGACAGAGAGGCAGAGGCAGACAAGAAGCCAGCAGTAGGGAGCAAGAGCGATGCAGGGAGCGAGCAAGAGGCAGTGAACACGTGCAAGCGAGGCAGAGGAGTGCAAGAGCAAGCAGAGAGAGAGACCACGGGTCAGTGCAAGAAAGCGAGGTCAAGAGCAAGCAAAAGGCGAGCCACAGGCTGAGAAAGGACTGAGAGGAAGAAGCTGAGAGCAAGCACAAGAGGCCAAGAGTGAGAGCGAGAGGCCAAGCGGGCCCCGTGGAGAGCACGGGAGGCTGAGGAAGCGCAAGCGAGTGGGAGAGGCTGAGAGCGGCCTGGCACCAGCAGAGCAGGGCAAGGCAGCGAGCAAGGGGATGAGGCCGGGACCGGGTGTGAGCAAGGCCAGGAGCCCTGCAAGGCCCTCTTCCCATCCCCATCCCCTATAAACCGGAGACATTACTGACATAGGAGAGGAGGTGGGAATACGTGAATACGTGAATATGTGAATGTTTACAAAAATTGGTATATTTTGCAGATAAGGCAAGCAGAGGAAGCATGCTCCTTCCGAAAGCTGCTTAGAAGGAATGAAAGCAAAGCTTGTTCTACGCAGGTCGCTGGAGTGTCTGTATGCCAGTCAGGGATGCAAACGGCAGCACCATTAGCATCATTAGCAGGCAGTTTGTTTTTCACTCTTCCCTGGGGAGCTGCATGCACAAGGAGAATTTTACTTTGTTTTCTCGGTTTTTTGGTTTTTGATTTTTATTATTTTTTCTTTTTAGGTACATGATGATACATATTTAAGTGGAAAGTCCATAACGCTCTGTATTTCTGTTGGGAAGTCAACTTGAGTGGAACGACAGCTTTAATTCTTGCAGACATAAGCTCTAGGCTTACATGCTATGCGAGAGAAATCTGTTTTTTCACTCATCACAAAATCTTTCAAATTACAGGCTCTGCTGTCCACAAAACATAATAACACTTAGATCTGAAGGCCTCAAACTTGATTTGAATTTCTGTGAGAAGCCTGCACCTGAAGCACTGGTGACACGTACTCCTGGAAGCTTGTGTCTTGCTGCATAGATGTGCTCCAGCTTTCTGGAGCAGCTGGCTGGCATCCCCAGCACAGCTTCCTTCACTGTAATGCGTTACTGAAGTCCAGCCAAGAAGTTCTATCTAGCCCCCTGTGAACATTGCTAAGGGAGCACATATGCATTAGTGAGAAAACCATTATGTGCGACCTGAATTCACCCCTTTTTTTCAATGCATTAAGACTGTACTCATTCAAACACAGTTTCATGTAATACAAAAATGTTTCACATTACAGAAAGAGGAGCGAGGGAAATAAGGATGTGCTGCATGCAGATGCAAATCAAACATTGACAAGAATGGTTTTCAACTGTCTCTTCAGGAAACTGAAAAGTCTAAAATATCAAGCCCAAAGACTTGAAGTGAGCCAGGTGCCGAAGATGCAGCCAAGGTTAGGTTTCTTCAAAAGCTATAGACAAAAGTGACAGAGCCACCACTAACTTTTTTTTTTCCCCCCACTGTGTAACTTCCCAGATGTCTGAAGTTCGCAGGTGCTACAGCAGCACCAGGCCAGGCAGCCCTGCTGGCAGAGGAAGACTGAACAAGCAGACACCCCTCTCTGTACAACTTGTCCCTCCCATTGATACTCTGTCAAGGAGAGATCCTTGGTCAACATTAACGTCTTCAGGCTTAAGTTGACCCACCCTCCCTTCCCTAAGTACTGTACAGAAACGATTCATCTGTCTTGATGAGCAAACTCACAGCACAGAGCTTTCTGCAATCTTCGGATCTTGATGGCCGTGCGGTAGGCAGAGAAGCGAACATTGTTCAGGTCAGCTGAAATAACACAACAGAAAGGTGAACAGCCTGAAAGAGCATCCATAAATTTATTCTACATACAAATTTCCACACTCCTACACATTGGAAAACATCTGATATTATCTCACTGCAAAGAGGAGAAGAGACAGGATACAGCATATTTGAAGAAACTGAGACAACTGGGAAGTTGAGACCCATTCTAAAAAATCCACCTGCAGGAAAAAATCCACTTTCCTGACTTTGACAGGCCAGGGCCTCTGGAGACTGCCCCAACAGAAACACTCGCACTACTGCCTTGGCACACGTAGTGCACGTACGTATTATGGAGTGGATACATCTAGTTTCCTGACAAGCGTTAGAATGAAGTACATTGCTCGGTGAGTTTACAAATCCATCAGACAACATGTCTGAGACAGGGCCAATGAAGGTCACAGTAACCGAGAAAAAAAATTTAACTTTGACTTTGTTAACAACGCTTTGACAAGGACAGTTGAGTGAAAGGACAGAAGGGACACCCATAAACAATCTATTTTAGGTATAGTAATACTTTTCTTCAGTTAATAGCATTTTATCCTTCCACTCCCTAGAGAGGGAGGTTTCACAGTAAATGCAGATGTTAGCAGGGCATGTTGAACGAGCTGTTCCCTAATATGATCTAGCCTTTATTGAGAGTGTAGCTGCTCTGATATATTACAAAACTTAGTTCCCTGCAGGCTGTGCATCCTGCTTGCACAGAGCCCGCATCCTTGGACAATCCCATGTGGATTTAAAAGAAATAAACAAGATAGAGCATTAAAGTGAAGAGTCGCAACATATTATTCAGAATGAAAATTACTGAAAGGCAATACACATCGCATGATCAGGGTAGCACGTTTCTTGCAAAGTGTGTCTGATCAAAATGTGAGAAATGCTTTGATATATGCAGCTTATGGCCAATTCAGACAAATGCAAGTTTTAGACAGCTCACAGAGCAAATGCCATACTTACCATAACAGTTTATGCAAAGAAATGCACTCACCTAGGGACTGGAAGAGCTCAATCATTTTAGGATGATCCCAACAGGTTGTTTGTGTCTGGTGACTACAAAGGAAAAAGATAATCAAAGTTTAAGGAAATAAGCAAATACAAATAAAAGGAATAAAATAAGGAAATTAAGGAAACTAACAAGGAATAAAATAAAATAAAATAAAACAAAATAAAACAAAACAAAATCTTCAGGGTTTAAGAGGAAAAAAAATCCTTCAGGTCTAAAATCAAAATACACGATCTATGTTTTGATGCTCTGATGTTTTTAAATCACTAAGTAGCTTAGGCAACAGTCCACCTATTTTTTTAACATTCTAGAAATACTTACTTTTGATTTTTTCTAAGACAGATGGTATCAGTTCTGCTCTGATTTTGAAGCTTAAAGGTGGATTAATAAGGTAAAAATGCCATTTTTTGGTGCTAGAGCACTGTAAAAATATTGCAAAAGCTCTTTAAAAATTAAAAGCATTACAGCTTTTATTTCAGACCACTGCATATCTAACCACTTCTCAATACATATGGCAATCTTAACAGGTACCTATAACATATTTAATGAAAAACCTATCCTATGCACTTTTCAAGCTCTCATCAAACTGATATCTGATTTTAGAGCATGTTCTACACTAGTGCCCACAGAATAGAGAGAATCAATAGGCAACATCACTTAATCCACCATTTAGCATTGCTGTTTAATTCACCAAGGTTTCAGCTATACAGCCATATGAATCAAAAGGCACTTTCCCTTAACTCTGCTGAAATCTCAGTCTTTATTTGAGCCACATTTTACTTCTATTTCTGCAAATCCACTGTGAGGATGATTGTACATTCCTGACACAGAAAATATTTAAATTTCAATTAGTTAGTCGGAAAATTCATTAGAGAAGCTGTGTTGAAAAAGAAAATCCCCATATTCCTCTTAAGAACTATAAAGTTAATAATGCAAATAAAATGATGCCAAGTTAGCAAATTAAACAATAATGACCTTAGGGTATATCTTATTTCATCTTTGCTTTTACTGAAGGAAATGAAAGTTAACATGGACACATGCATGTGAACTGCTGCTGCTCTGGCTCCTTGGTCAATTTTCTGCAGAGCGAAAACATTCTCCAAACAAAGCAAGAGCTGAGGGCCCTTCTTTGCATTATGTTTCAAGACACTCTAGCTGAAAGTTCACGTGCTGGATCCCAGTGTAGGATTATGCCCCGTTTCATGAGTGTTTCAGCTTTGGGCCTGACCTGGCTTCTCTCCATCTTTGCCAGGCTTAACTCTTTCTGCCAGGTGTACCTGGCACCATTGTGCATTTGTGACGTGTTTGCTATAATGTTCAAAGAAAAATATCTATTCCTGTTAACTCAGGAGGTATAAATAATATCTCCTGTGAGGCACTGAAGGTACTTGAAACAGTTCCTTTGAGCCCTTCCCAATCCAGAATCTCACTCAAGTTCATCTTTACCTTTGAATACATTCTCAGTTTGACGCATGGGTTTTAATGCTTTCGGAGAAGATCTACTTCCCTGAGCTGCAACTTCTCCTAGTTTTCAGTTTCATAATACCACAGGATCTCCCTTCAGATCTCAAGCTCTGAATAGGGCACTTGAGGCCCGGATATGTTCAGCATTGAGTGGAACAGCAGAACAGACCTCCAAAGCCCAATATATGCCAGAATCTAATCATTGGTATTTTTACACTGAAAGTTTCTAAAAGGACAGTTACAGTTTAGTAGTAGTTTACAGCTATTTTATTAAAAAGTCATTTGGAAGATCATTATTTCCCTAGCAGGTGCACACCAAGAAACCATCAAGAAAGTGATAAAAAAAAAAAAAAAAGAGAAAAGAGGATGCATTTCAGCTTGGTGCTTTGCCAGCATTAAGGCAACAGACCGTCTGGCATTCTCAAAAACCTCTTGGTATAAAACCAAATTACAGTGCATTAGAAAGGAAAACATATCCAGCTTCTGTAAACAGGAACACAAAAAAATAATTTTATGCCTTGTTTGATCAACCCACTAGATAACCTCAAAAACAATCCCTGAACCGGGGTAGTTTGGATTTAAGTTGCTGAAATAGATGCCAAATAGCTCCACTCCCATGTTAAGTGGGATGCTGCCATTATCATCTTACCCATTTAGAATTGATTTGTGCTGCCACAACCAGCCGCAAACATCCACTGACTTGATCCAATATATGATCAGGTCAGTAAAGCTTGTTTTAAGGATATGCCTTCATCTCACCTCCCCCAGCCAAGGAGGGGGAAGAAAAGAAAAGAAAAATATACACATGTGGTGTAGCGATTTTGCTGTCAACAGCAAAACTGAAAAGGATTTCTTAGCTCCTGATAAAAGATTCTGACTTAAGAGACCTTCAAATTTTTGTGTTAGAAGAAAAGACAGATAACAGCACTGTGATAAATCCTTGAAAAAAAACATAGTTTTCCCTCACTATTTTACATGCTAAACTATTAGCACAAATGCTGCATGTAAGCACATGCTAGAGCTGAATCAAATCTTGCTATTGCTTCAGAAGTTCAATTGCTTTCAAAGAAATCATTCATGTTAAAATTAGCATGAATAATAAAAATAAGATAAGACCTTTTCCAAATCACAGCCTCTGCTTTGCAGTTTACCATTCTCTGGAATGAGAAAATATGCTGCCATGATGAAACCAACTTTGTATTTGTGAGGGGTTGCCAAAACGCCACCTGGGAAGTGCAGCAGACTTGCAAAGGTTTATTAGCAGCAAATCTCCTCCCTATGCAAATAACAACTGACTCGTAGTAAAAGCAGAATATTATTTTTTTTCCTTTCTGGCAACGAATTGTTAAATTCTGCTAGATCCAAAATGACCCTTTCTTAATTAAAGGGAGAAAAAAAATGTAAAGTATTTGAATAATGCTTACTTTTTTTCCCCCCCAAAATATACCTATGTACTGCAGCACACTTCAGTAATATTTAATAGGTGTTGGAGGCAAAACTAAATGCACCTTCTAAGCAATTTATAAAACTATGAGGAGTGGATATTAATAATCAAACCTTTTCCCCAAATCAGCTTTAAGAACAGTTTTCACTTAAAATGCCTCTCAAAGAGTTTCATTATTAAGACTGGATGCTTAAATACATTGCTTCAAAGGCAATTTTATCTGAAGCTGTTTTAAAGCATGACAACAGGCCATGCAAAAACGATGTTACACTTTCATATTTTAGGCAGCTTTAACATGAAGCACAGAAGAAAAATGAAACAGCCATCCCACATCTCTATACCCTGCTCTAGCATCTACTTTCTCATCTTAATGGAGTAAGAACCTTACCAGCTAAATTTTCTCCTTACACAGAAAAGCACAGAACACAGCACGAAACTCATCCCTAAGAATAATGACCAGAAAGTATTTTTGTACTTCTGTTTCCAAAGGAAGCAGGAATACAAGGCTGTGTAATAATGGGTTTTTAAAACTCATCATTCAATTCCTTTGTACATCCCATAGGATAACTACCTGCTACTAGGATTATAAGAGAAAAGAGGCCCAAGGAACATTTTCCTGTGGAACTGAAAAAAGGAGACAAAGCAGCCCTCCATTAAGGCTTGTTTCAAATTACCCCCAAACTACCTGATAGCTACTAAACAGCTGTATGAGGGGACGGTGATCTTACCAGTTTCATCCCAAAACATCTAATGAGATACTATCCATAGCAGCTGAGCAATCCTGCAAGTGGATTTGTCAAACAAAAACCAGAAATGGGCTGGGAACAAATGAACCAGTGAGTGAATAATCTGTTCAGGTAGGAGGAGGGAGCACCTCAGCCCTACTGCTGCCGACAGTACCACACCACTGCTACCACCTCAGCATATCCCATGGGCTAGACACAGTTCCAAAGCAAGGCTACATTGGACACTGTCGGGGGGAAAAAATGTGACTACAAATTAAATAAGAGGGCAGAGGGAGAAACTGGTCTCAACAGTGACATTTCTTAATGCAATATTTTGTTCAATAACAGTTTCATAATATGCAAGGGCTTTTACATGCACATAAATTGACTTCAGAGAAAGAAAAAAATGCGTGTGCAGATAACCTCCCTCTGCCGCAAATAAAACTGTCAGACTAAGGAGTCATTTTATCAGGAGCTCCAAACAGGAGGCAGGCAAGACAAAGTGCCTCCTGGTGATTTGGTTTGTAAAGCATCTCTCTGAAATACGGTCCGTCTTCCTGTGCGGTAGCTACAGTAGCTTTTGTGCTACTGATGCAAGACTAATGCAAACAGACCAACCTCTGGAAAATGTGCTGCTTTCTGAAGGGGAATCTTTCTGACAGGGAAACATAGTTCCTTTCATGCAGGTTCCCAACAGGGCAATCTGTTCCAAGCTACGTAGTGCAGTAGCTACCATCCTATGTTCATTACTGCCCAAATGCTAAAAAAGCAGCTCTGGACGTTTCTCTGCTTCTCTGATAGCTTGCTCAGTAAATATAAAAAATATACAGGAAATCAGAGCTATCAGAATTTATTTTTTCAAGTAAATAACTAATGACACACACCTTTTACATGCGTGTGTGAAAGGCGTCCAGCTCACTAGAGCTAAAACAAGGCAAAGCAACTGAAGCAGTGTGTGCTTCTCACCACAGCAACAAAAGTGCTCCAGTCATTTTCAGAGGAGTTCCCACTCAGGGAGACAGAGCTCCACCTTCATTCACGTGCGCTCCCTAAGTCCTGGGAAGTCCAGAAGGCAATTAATGCAAATTGGATGGGTTGTTTTCCCTAAACAGACATGACAAGGAGTCTTCACAAAGTTCAGCCCTGAGAGGAAGCTATCTGCTATGAGCGCAAAGAAATGTCATTTTGTGTATTTTCCTATAGAAAACAATCTGGAGCCCTGAATGAAAGAAAACTTAAGCTTGCAGAAAAGCTGGGAAATCCAGAAGGCAGAAGCTGATCAAAATCTATATTTGGAATAGGCCTGAATTTTATGTGGTATCTTACCATATTAATGAGAAAAGTTTATTGTTTTAGTCATTTAACCAAACTTCTGAAAAGAAAAATGGGCACTAAACAAACCCACACAGGCTTC